TTTCAATTGTTCCCTATTTAATATGATGTGGGCAATGGGTTTGTCATAATGACTTTTATCAGATTAAGATGATAGCCTTGTATATCTATTTCTCTCAGAGCTTCCGTCATAAAAGGATGTTGGATTTTGTCCAAGACTTTTGCTGTGTCTATTGAGATGGACATGTGATTTTTGTCCTTGCATCTGTTTATGTGATATATTACTTTTATTGATTTGCATATGTTGAACCATCCTCCTTGCAACCCTGGGATGAAGCTTGATCATGGTGAATGATATTTTTGATTATTCATTGCATTCTGTTTGTCAGGACTTTTTGTATCTATCTTCATTAAAGAGATTGGGCTATAGTTTTCTTTTTTGGTTGGATCCTTGTCAGGTTTTGGACTCAGTGTAATGATAGCTTTCAGGACTGACTTTGGAAGTACTAGTTCCCTTTCACCTTCATTAAAAAGCTTTAGGAATATTGGTATTAAACCTCCTTGAATTGTTTGTAGAATCCTTTCAGCAGTGATCCCTTCTGGACCTGGGTTTTGCTTAGTTGGTAGATTCTTTTTAAACTACTGTTTCAATTTACTGAAACTGAATTATTTAGGGTTTTTAAATCTTCTTGGTTCAATTTTGATAAATTCATATATCATCTAGGAATCTATCCATTTCTCCCTAATTTTTCAATTTATTGGCATACAGGTTTGCAAAGTAGTTGTCAATTATCTTTTTGGTTTCAATAGTGTCCATTGTGGCTTCACCTTTTTCATTTCTAATTGCATTGATTTGAGTCTTTCCCCTTTTTTGGTTAGATTGGCTAAAGGTTTGTTTTGTTTATTCTTTTAAAAAATCAACTCTTTGATTCATTAATTTTTTGTAATTTTGTCGTTTTTGTTCTCAGTTTCATTGATTTGTTTTTGCTCTGATCTTTATATTTCCTTCCATGTACTAGTTTTGAATTATTTTTGTTTTTCTAGGACCTTGAGGTGCATTGTTAGGCTATTTATGTGTGTTTTGTCTGTCTTTATGATATGGGAAGTCACAGCTAAAAACCTCCCTCTTAGGACCACTTTCATTGTGTCCCAAAAGTTCTAATATTTTGTCTGGCTTTATAGTTTAGTTCTAGGTCAGGGGTGCTGCCCATCTTATGGGGACCTGCTTGCTCAGGTGGAGGAAGTGTGCTGCTCTTCCTGTGTGGATCTCTTATTTTTATGTTTTTTGAAATGAAAAGTAGAAGGCTTCATTTTTTTCACTTCTCTCCAAGGCCTTTGGCCTCATCCACCATTAGGTCAGTCAGTAGGTCAGCTCCTCTGCGGGCCTGTGCTGGTGGGAAACAAAAGGGAGAGAAAGCCAGCCAGAATTTGGCATGTGGTTACTGCCAGTGTACAGAATCCACTGTACATCTGGCTCTTCTGGTCTTTTTAAAAAATACTGAATGCCATATTGTCATAATTCATCCATATTTCTGAGGCTCATATTTTGACTGCTGAATGATATTCCAGAGTGAGATGGTTTGCAGGAGATGGCTTTGGCTCTAATAATATTGTTTGTATACCTTAGCTGATGGCTTCTTAGCAGAAGAGGTTGCTCCTTCCAGGGATGACTCAGCAAATATTTTTTAAATACTTCATATGTGCAATATGGTACCAACCCCAAAGGGTTTGTTTGTGTAGGATGGCAGCCTAGGTGGTGCTGGAGTCAAACCTGAGATGACATGGATGGTTGCACAGGTGCCCACAGAAATAGAGGGAGAGGATTCCAAGGCACCACTGAAAAGGAATGAATAGGCTCTGTGGAAAATTGATATGACTGTAGATAGTTAGGAATTTAAACAGCTTCTCAGGATTTCGAACCTGCAACATTGGGAGATGGCCATTTAGGTGGAGTGAGAAAAGCCATATAGCTTTGGAAAGTGACAATGCCTAGCTGGATTTGCCTTTTATTTTATGATTGTAACAGAGTCTTCTTGAGGTTACTCCCAAATTAAGGCAGGAGTCTTAAACCTAGCAGGCATTATCCTGTCCGACTGGAACTCCCACCTCATTGCCTCTCTGCAGGGCTTTGTACCTCCCTGCCCAGTCTCTGACCCTGTCTTGCCCACCTACAGCTGAAACAAGGTACTTTCACTGTGGCTCTTAGTCTATCCTCCCTATCCCCAGGGCTTCCTTGTCTCCCTGCTTTCTTTCTGATTTCCAGTCATTTCTTTGATCCCTAGCTCAGGTCCTGCTTTTTCTATAAAGTCTCTCCGTATGTCTTCCTTCTCAGAATTGCCGTGTATCTGGGGTTTTCCTTAGTTGGACTTTTTACCCAATAGAGGTCATGCAGTATATTGTGGAAATTACCTAAAATTAAAAAAAATAGACAATCAGAATCAATTTTATCTTCCTTTCATAAGTAAATTATTTGTGTTCCAGGATGGCATATATGGGAAAAGTATGTGCTTAAATTGAATAAGACAAAAGAAGTAGATCTTGAAAATAGTCCCTGCAGTTACTGTGCCATTTAAGTGAGAGGAGTTTCAAGCTGGAGTTTAGAACTCTCCACCTAAGCCCTGCATGCTCTCTCTCTCTGCATCTGGAGGTTGAGGTTATCAGAACTGCCCCATCATACCCATGTGGCATGGCCATCTGGCAGGCAGTAAGCACCAGGGAAAGTCACTGTCTGACTGGGCCTCCCTAGCAGCTTGGAGCCCTCAAAGTGCCCGTCAACTGCCCTCAAGCTCCTTCATTAACTGGACAGTGTGGTTCATACACACTGCTTACTGGGGCCAGTGCTCCCTTTCAGACTCAGAGAATCACTAGGATAAATCAGGTAAAGTGAAATCTATTTTCAAAGCCAAGTGTCTTCCGAGGCTTGTAGTGAAGTTCAAAGTTGAAGGTTACTGCATGGAAGTGAAATCATCTGTGCGTATTTGATATGTTGAGCTTAGGTAACTGGTGGAGTTGGGTGTGGCGCTAGGATAATCCACACACATTGGAGAATGGGACAGTCTGTGCATGCATTTAGATGGGAGATCAAGGCTATGAAGTCCTTGTGGGTTCAGCTTGCAAAGTAATTATATCTTTGTCAAAATCTGCTAATTCTTTCTGAAAGGGGCAATTTGAAGCTATTTTAACTCTTGGCTGCATGGCTATTTTTAAAAATCTAACTGGTAAAATTCATTATGGAAATGAAATTTTCTGGTTAGTTTAGTATTGCTAGAGCTTTTCATTCTAACGTCTATAAAAACACGCCTTTGACAGTATCTTCACTATGGAATTATTGTGACAGTGAATAATTGGAAAATTAAAAACATTCAACCACTGGTAAATTAATGGTTAAATAATATAGTTTATCCTTATTGTGGGATTTAATCAGGTGCTAAAAAAATGAGGTCTGTGTGTATATAGAGATCTAAAAAAAAAGGATCATAAAAATTGTGGGGGAAAAAGCAAGAATCAAATTTCTGTGTGTGTGTGTGTGTGTATGCACAATGATTTAGTTTTGCTCAGAAAAATCATATATGTATGCATAGACTGCTTAATAGTAATATTTGCTACCATTTATTAAATTTGTATTATTTGACAGCAGTACGTTCACTACTTATTACACTTAAATAATCTAATTTAGTTCTCATAAAAATGCTGTATATTTCACAGCTCAGAAAGCTGCAGGCTGGAGAGGTTAGGAGACCTGGTCCAGGCTGCAGGAAGGTTAGAGGCAAAGACAGGGCTCCAGGCCTGAAGCCTGCACTTGTAACCTTTATCCTACCTGTGCTGTTCCCTAACATTGTGCAGCATCAGTAGTTATGTTACAAGAAACTGGTATGTGTGACGGTACTGAACTGTGGTCTCCAAATCCTTCCTTCACTCTGAGTTGGTGGCTGGACTGCAGAAGCCTCTGGTGCAGAGTTCTGAAAGTGCCACTTGTCTGCACAGGATCTCTCCTAACCCTGTCACTTCTCCACAGAATGACTACATACAGTTGTAACTGCTAGGGTAGAGTTCAAATTAAACATTAGCTCATATTGTCTCTCGAAACTAATGTTCCCAAAAGACATTTACAAAGGGATAGCAATGTTGAAATATTTTAGGTACAAACAGGAAAGGTCTTGTGTGCCAACAATGACAAGGCTGGAATCTCAGCCTGATTTTTCATGTGTCCAATACTCCCCGGCGGCCTTTTCTTCTCTTGAACTTTTAGCAGTGTTGTGCTTAAGCAATTCAGCCCACTCTGTTAAAACCCTTTGGTGAATATGTATATGTAAATTCTCTCATGCTATCCTATAAGTGGTTCCTTTAATATGGTTTTGATTCGCTGAAGAGATTGGGCTGCTATTGAGGTCCAATTACTAAAATTTAGAATTTGGAGCACAAGAATTTGTGTGAGAAAGATTACAATGCTTGGATAATAAGTACAGAGGAGATTTGGGCCACCAGAATTTCTAGTCCAGGCTTCTGCTTCCTTCCTCTGCTTCCCACAGTCTAATCTATGATATACATAGTTTTAGTTGATTACTTTTTATGCCACTCTAGAGGGGACTGATTTCTCTGCCTGCCCTCATTCTCTGTGACCTCAGTTCTCTATTTTTCCGTGCATGTGAGGAAGCAGCTCAGTCCCACAGAAGGAGAGAATGAACTGAGAGATGCTATCATTTACTATATGAACTAAAGATATGATTTAGTCTAGTATATTTTGGCCAAGGCAAAAATAATACAGGGTCATGTGAACAAGGTATTTACCTAGTGTATAGACCTGAATGTATGGACATTTAATTTATTACCTGGCAGCTATGGGACACTGGATTCTAATAATTTCTCTGTAATGAATCTGTTTTTCAAAAGTCCATCTCCAAAAGCAACAGCAACAACAACAAAAACCCATTATTTTATATTACTTGCCCAGCCCACCCCGCCTTTTTTTATGCCTTGCTTGTTAATTTGCCTCCAGCCCCTTAGAGAAGTAGACAGTTTAGATGATACATGTTAACAGAAAACTGTGGACTCAAAAGCTTTGCCTCTGAAATCAGTCTGTTGTGTAACATCGCGGCTGGTCCAGAGAACAGGTGTGCAGTGCTGCGAGGCCTGAGGAGGTAGAGGGGCCAGCCCACTCTGGAGAATGGAAGGAGGAGGAGGGGTGCTTAACAACACAGCTTCTCAGTGTTGCAATCTTAGCCTGAACCATGTGCTACCCACTGGGAGAGAATTTCTTGCTGCCTGTTTGTACCTCTGCGTAATCCCAGACCCTCTGCGTAATCCCAGACCCTCTGCCTTCCAAAGTGAGATGAAAGCCCTGGAAAAATACCTAGATTAGCTGGAGTGCTGCAGGGAAAACTGAGCCAAGCTTCTGCAGTTCTCGGCAGCCTTCTTCGCCTTCCTGGGCCAGGTCCTTTGAGCTTGGGGCATCAGATCTGAGGACTGAAATTCCTCAAGGTAAGAAGACTCCCCTCCCAGGAAATGGACTCCTCCAATGTCCTCACATGATTATTCAGGTACTTTCACTTTTCCATATATAGGAGTCACTCAGGAGCCAGCTCTGACCAGCGGAGTGACACATCCTCCTCCATCGGCACCTTTCCCTCTCATCCATCCTCACCTTGATCTCACGTGCTTCCAGGCAGTGAAGCAGAAGCTGTCTGTGGCTCTGACAGACACAAGCTTGTTGGGCTGGTAGAAAAAAAACTCCGGTGAAGCTGCAGCACTGAAATTGTTTCCTTGGAGAAGTGTGAAACGATGAATGGGCCTGTGGATGGCTTGTGTGACCATTCTCTAAATGAGGAAGGAGCCTTCATGTTCACATCAGAGTCTGTAGGAGAGGGACATCCGGGTAAGTGAGTTGTCACGGCCTGATTAAAGATCCATCCTTCCCAGCCTAGACCCAGGGAGTCATTTACTAGGAGTCTTAAGAATGATGACTGTTAGTTACAATAGGGATCTCTGGACAGACAACATGAAATCGTTTTATAAAACAGTAGCTCATTATGAAGCTGAGTGTCCACACAGCTGTCCGTCACCAGAATCTTGGCATGGCAGGGCTGAGACAGGACAGACAGTAAACTTAAGATATATGCAAAATGTCCCTTCAGATCTTAACTTTAATGTATTTATTTTGAGTGAAGCTTTTATCTATGATCACTGAGCAATTTAAGTCAACAGAAAATGTTCCCCAAACAAGACCATAGGTCACTAAATTCTGCATATAAAGCCTGTGTAGCGTAAATATGAACAAATGGCGCTGAGTTGGGTCTCCAGGTGCTGTGGGGGGGTCTCAAGTGTACTATATAAGAGAAATTCCTGTGACTTATTGGAGGAGAAAAGAAATTGGAGTATTGTTTTGGTCCCTGAAAGGCAGGTGGGCTCTGATGTGGAACATGAGAGAGACTTCCCTGGTGACAGGACCATGCCTAGATACTCAGAGCTCCAAGTTGTAGGACTGAGAGGTTATCAAGCCATGGAGTATGTTGACATCAGGCACAGGGCCTGGTGAAGCAGAGTGCCAGACTCCACTCAGTAGGTCTTGGTACAGACTCAATAATTTGCCTTTTTAACAAGTTTCTGTGACATGCCACTACTGCTGGTATGGAAACCACAGTTTTAGGAGCACTACACCAGGAGAATCCTGGGAACTAGACACACAGATTTATGTGTTCAAGCACTTCTTCAAATTTATTTAAGTATTTGAGGTGTGTAGTAAGTTATCACAGAGCCTCCCCTTTCCCATCTTCCTTGTTCTCATTCTTTCCCCCAAAGATTTAACTTTTATAACTTGTAACATGGTTCTGGCCATCCCAGTGCACTGGTCCTTCTGTGTACGTCACCCAGTGGTCTTCAACTGCAGGCAACTTTGTCCCTCTTCCTCAATATCTAGAGACATTTTTGGTTATCACAACATTGGGAAATGGAGGGAAGGTGCTCCTGGCACCATCTGGATAGATGCTCAAGCATGCTGCTAAACTTTTGTCTTATAATGTGCAAGACAGCCCCACCATAAAGTATTATATGGCTCAAAATATCAACAGTGCAGCTGTTGAAAACCTTAAGTTAGATTGCTTTGCATGAGATTTACTTAATTCAATATAAACAGCCTCTTTCACTCTGCATAATTTTATAGATAAGCTCTGTAGGTTTCCTGTACTTCTAACCTTGGACACATGGCTGTGTCTGATATATTCTGGTGGTCTCAATGGCTTATGAGGGTTACATGTAGGTTAGGAGAAAGATCCCACCTGGAGGGAGTGGGTTCTGTAGCATAGAGTGGCCCTAAGCATTGCATATTGTACCCAACAATAATGTGCTCAGTAATCAGGGAATGAAAATTCCAGGCAATCCATGGATTGTTTTGCATATTTACTGACAGTCGATCAATTTGTCTGATTCTATTTTCATTTGCCAATTATTGTAGCTTGTGTCTAGATGTCCCCCCAAAGCCTCATGCAGTCATAGGTGGGGCTTTTTCAGAGGCAGCTGGATCTAGAGTATGTGATTGATTCGTGGTAAAATGCTTTGTGGAATAAGGTTGCTAGGAATAAGTGGTTGATTACTAAATCAGTCCACTGATTTGTTTGGCACCCCCCATACTGGTAGACTTGATATAGTATAAGATTACAGAAGAGTCTTATCTTGTCTCTTGCTTGCTTTGCTACCTTTTGCCCTCCATGAGCTGTTTTTTCTCTGCAATGCCTGTCTGCCAGGCCACCCTGGCTTGCAGGCAGCTGATTATGGACTGAAATCTCTACAAACTATAAACTAAATAAAACTTTCCTCCTTTAACTTGTGGGTGTTGGGCATTTTGTCTCAGCAATGAGAAAAGTAACTAAGACAGAATTTGATACCAGAGAAGTAGGGTTGTTGCTGTGACTGTACCTGACCATGTGGTTCAGGAGCTTTTGGAATTGGCTTATGGGAAGTTTGGAAAGGTACAGAGATACTGGCTGAGAGAGCATCTCTGGAAAGCCTTTGGGTATACTTGATGGGAGATTCTGGTCAGAACTCAGAAGACTAGAATGCTGAAAGAAATGCTCCCAGTAAAGACCAGACTCAGGAGGTTTCTGCTGGAAAAGATCACATTGGCTGTTGGACTCCATATAATGTATGTTATGGCTTACCAGAAAGTTTGTCTATATTTTGTTCCTGTCCAGATACTTTATATGAGACTGAGATTAAGGGATGTGAACTAATTAATCTTACAGAAGAAATTTTAAGGCAGTCTAATGATGAGGCTATTGCATATCTATTGTTTTAGCCAGATTAATGTTTTGAATTAAGAGCAAAGACCCTAGGAGAATGATTTAAAATGTCAGTTTGTCCAGAAAGGAAGCTCCAGAAAAATTGCAGTTTGTAAATATGGAACAGAGGGGAAATTGGTCACTGAGAAGATTAGCAAGAAAAAGCCACATATTTCAGAAGAAGATGATGGAAAAGATGGCCTGAAGACATCACTAGAACCAGTAGAATTCCAGCCTTTGCCACCTTAGAGTTGCAAAGGTGAAAGAATTTGCTTTGAGAGGAGAGCCCCGGAGCACTATGTTCCAGAATGGTGGCAGCCTAGGGAATTTGTTCCTCAGGACTGAGTTCAGAGTGTTCAGTGATCTAGACAGTCAACCACTACAGCCAAGAGAGAAGGAAGTCTGGCAGAGCTTGGCATCATGCACATGGCGCTGGTTTTAGGTAAATGCAGAATGCAAGAATTGTGGGGTCAGGAAGGCTTTCACCCAGATTTCAGAGGAAGGCCTAGGAGGTCAGGCAGGCTGCCCCTGTGAGGGCGGTGTGTGAAGCTGTGAGTGTGAAGCTGAAGGTACAGTGGAGACCCCAGAAGTTTGGAGAAGCCAGGGGCATGGATCATCTCAGGAAAACTGCAAGAAGGAAGCAGACCTGGCCCAAGAGAGAAAGTGTGGAGCACCAGAACTACTGTTCTGGAGCCACCCAAGCCCTTTGGAGTTCACATCTTGCGACAGATTGCTTCTGATATTGGACATGGGATTAAAAGACAGTGTTTGCTCTGATGGATTTTGGACTTGCTTTGGTCTCATTCCTTTGCATCCCTCTATTTGTACCCTTTGGAATGGAAATATTTATCTTGTGCCACTGAATGTTGGAAGTGTTTAACTTCTTTTTCATTTTTACAGGGGTTCATAGCTAAGAGTTTGCCTTATAAATTTTAGAGGAGAGTTTGGACTTGAACTTTTCCACAATGCAGAAACTCTTAGGACTTTGGCAACTCTTGGAGATGGACTAAATACCTTTTCATAAAAGAATGTGCATGAGTTTTGGAGGTCCAGGGATGGAATGTTATGGCTTATATCTAGATGTCCACACAAAGCCTCATGCAGCCACAGATGGGGCTTTTTCAGAGGTGGCTTGATCTAGAGTATGTGATTGATTCATTGTGCAATGTTAGGATTAAGAGAGCTAGGATCAAGGGTGGGTGATTTCTAATTCAGTTTACTGATTGGTTTGACACTGCCATAATCTTGGTAGCCTGGATACAATATAAGAGAAAGAAAGAGTCTTGACTTGTCTCTTTCTTGGTTTGCTACCTTCTAACCCCATCAACTGTTTCTCCTCTGTGATGCCCCTCTGCCATGCACCACCCTACCTCGGAGCCAGCCAATTATGGACTGAAACCTCTATAAGCTGCAAGCCCAATAAACTTTTCCTCCTTAACTTGTGGGTTTTGGGTATTTTTTTTTTCAGCAAAGAGAAAAATAATGAAGACATCAGTATAAATTTACTGTCCTAGTAAGTCAGTTTCTTCTAAGACTTGTTAACTTCTGCTTTTCATTCCATGCCCATCAGAAAGATACACTTTGTTTCTTTTGAATTTCAATAAAACTGACTCTTGGCTATCTGGAGCCTACTGAGTGATATTGTGAGAAATTTTGGAGCCTGAGGAAACTTCAAAAATGACCTCCTTATGCATTATCTTATCTGAGGTGCTGTCCTGATGACACTGCTGCACTCTGGCTTTGTCTCTGTAACTTGCGCATGCACTGAGTCCTTTAAACAAGCTGAAACATCCACAATATGACTGTAAATAGCTTCTAGGAACCCTAAGGGGCAGGTCTGAAGTGGCCACCATACACTAATTTCAGGATATGTTAGCTGTGGAAAGTCCTCTTGGTGGGCATGTGCAGAATCTGTGAACTCAGATAAACTTAGATTAATAACCAGGATCTGCCACTAGCAGGAAGGTAATACAGAAAAACCCAAACATATGTTCAGTAGTAGTTTTTGAGGAAGAAATTAGAAAGTTATCCTTTAGTGGCAGATAAGACAAACATGGGTGATATATATCTTTGGCATACGTATATTTAAAACTCAGTTGTTTTTGAGTGTTGAATTGCTTGATTCTAGATTTGGAATCTTAAATATGTATTAATCTATTAAGAGCACTCATGAGCATTTTGAACATAATATAAGATGTTATTTGTGTAATAGAGGTGACATTTATTTCTTCATTTGTGATTATTCAGTTTTCATAACCCCCCAAAAAGAGTAGAATTTTCCACAGTGATATGTAATGATCTATATGTTAGGCCACATGGAGTCTTCAAGGCAAAGTAAAAGAATGAGATCAAGTGTAGTTCAGGGTGAACCTTTGTCATTCCTATCTTATTGCAGAGGGCCAAGCCAGCTGTTGGGCTGTCTGGTCCTCGGTGACCATGAGAAAGCTCTTGGAGATGCTCATGGAAATGCTCTGCAAGACAGCAGTGATGTGTAGGGGTGTTCTTGGGAGAATTCTTGTGCTTTTTTCTTTGACTTTGTGGTAGTGTGGATTGAACTAAGCATTCTACCACTGGGCTACATCCCCAGCTCTTTATTTATTTTGATACAAGTTCTTGCTAAGTTACTAAATTACCCAGGTTGATGTAATTCTCCTACTTTGGCCTCCTGTACTTTAGATTTCAGTTGTCAGCCACCTGTGGAATTCTTGTGGACAGCTTGGGTATGGTGTTTTCTATGGTGCAATGTAGTGCAGCTATTTGTCTCATCTGATTTTTACATATTAGCACTTAATATTACTGACTTTTAAAAGACTCTACCTTCTATTTCTAGGAAATATCTAGATGTTAGAATTAAAAGAATACATTGCTGAAGAATGAGAAGCATTTTAGGTGTGTGTGTGTGTGTGTGTGTGTGTGTGTGTGTGTGTTGCTCTGGAGTCTTAGAAGAGCTGATTTTGAAACATATTTCTTTTTCTAAGAAATTCTATAATTTATATATGCATATCTTCCAAAATGAGGCAGAAATGAAAAGAAATAAAATTTTCAAAATATTTCTAATTTCTTATGTTTAAAAATGTGACTTATTAGGTAGGTAGAATTGACTCACAAACTGACAATATCAAATTACTTAACATTTCAGTTATATTCATTACTTACATGATTTGCACCCTTGTTTATTCTTGTCCAGATAAGATCTGCGACCAGATCAGTGATGCAGTTCTAGATGCTCACCTCAAGCAAGACCCCAATGCCAAGGTAGCCTGTGGTAAGTGACCTATCCCTACCTGCCAGACAGCTGAGTAGGCCGGGTAAGACATGCATGTGGACTTGAGAACATAGAGTGGTAAAAGTTCGTGTGCTCCAGTCTGCAGAGTGGTTTTCATGATGTGGGGTTCTCATGTTGGATCAGGGAAGAATGATTTCTTACTGTGAAACAGATCAATAATCATTTTCAATCACTTCTCGGCCTTTTGGCTAAGATCAAGTGTAGTATCTGTTCTTATCAGTTTAATAATCATTTTCAACAAGAATTTGGCATTAACTTTCTTAACCTCAGTAAGAGAAGAGGGATGGATCACTGCAGGCCTTCCTGACACTTCATTTTTGTTTTGGAGTGGAGAGGCCTTTCAAAGTTCTGAGATCAAGCCACCGTATGAGACGGAAGACCTCAAAGCCACAGAACTGCCTAGATGGCCATAAGCTGCATTTCTGCTGTAAGAGCCTTTGATGGCTGTGCTGGGTCTGGTTTCTTCCCTGCTTTTCCATCCTAGTTGGTGGTATGACTCAGGCATTAAAGTGATCTATGGAAGGCAAGTTCTCCATCAATTCTCCATCGTGAAAGCAGCAGTTTTCCTAAGGCATGCTGATGTCAAACCCTTCCTTGTATCGTGGAGGCTTATGCGGGCTAAAGATCTTCACTGTTATTTGTAGAATAAGCTCTTTACCTTTTGCCAGGATTGAAGCACTTGGCACAACAGCAGAGTCAGGAACTCTGGCTCCTGGACAGCTCAGGTCCAGCCTGTTCACTTCACTGAAGAGATCACAACGCCAATGCATCAGGTTGTTGTCCAAGGCATGGGGCAGGAGACTCAGCATGGATCAGAATTCCACTGTCCTTACCATCAGCACTCTGTTCTGTCTACTACAAAGAGCCATCTTTCCATCTCTGGTGGCATCCTGGTCCCAGTGTCCATGCTGTTCAGAAAGTAGAGCATACCCTGATATCTTTGTAAGCAGCTGAAGATAAAGTTGGTCTGTTTTGGTCTTTTGATCCAACTCCATGAAGCTTGCAGTGGGGTATAAGCAACTTGTGGGAAGTGGGCAGGTGACCTGTGTTCACTATGACAGCCAGATACAACCTTTGTCTCTTTTAATCCACAAACAAGTCTAAGCATTATCCTCACAGAATAGTTGATGAAGCTGAGACTTAGGTTAAATAAGTTGTCCATGATAGTATAAATAGTAGGTATAAAATTCAAGTGTAACTGAATCTTCCCAAAACATCTTTCTGCAGGCAGAATCTGGTAATGCTCAGTGATGCTTGCTGGCCTGATTCTTTTTATTGGCATTATTATTTTCTTTCTGGAATCCATTCCTCACAAGACTTCTTATGATTTCCTCTGCTGGCATGTGACTGCTGACCTGTCCTCTTTCCCTTGCAGAGACGGTGTGCAAGACAGGCATGGTGCTGCTGTGCGGGGAGATCACCTCCATGGCCATGGTGGATTACCAGCGTGTGGTGCGGGACACCATCAAACACATTGGTTATGATGACTCTGCCAAGGGTGAGGGCCAGCCTCTGGGTTCGGAATGCTTTCTGGTTTCTGCTGAGAGAGGCCTTGATGTTGGGATGAACCTGAGCCTTAGTTTTAGAGCAGTACAAATCCTGACTATAGAAGCATTATCACTAGACCCATATGTCAGGTTCCAAGGGCCCAAAGCTGGGATGAGAGTATTACAGCTGACTGTGTAGGGCAGCAGCAGAGGAAACAGCCTACGCCTGTCCACTGTGGATGAGTTTCATTACTGTCCTGCCTTCTTGATGCGGGCAAAGGCTTTGGAAAGGAAAGCAGTGCCAAATGAAGGGAGCTGCCTTTGTAGGGAACATGCCCTCTGCCAGGCACCCATATTGGTCTTTTTGTGCGCACTATCCCTTAATCATTGTGGAAACTCTTATGTACTTCTGCAGATGAAGAAATTGAGGCTTAGAGAAGTAAGCAATTTGCAGGTGGCAATCAGTAAAAGGCCATCAGGTTGGGGAATCCACCACTGGCACAGAGAATGATGACTCGGTCTAGTTCTGGGACTGAGAACAATAAGGGAGGTGGGCTGGCCCAGATCAGTGCCCTTGCCAGGCAGTATGGTGGGCTAAAGCCCAGAGAAGGGGCCCGGGCCTAGCAGAGACTGAAGTGAAGCACTGCTCTCACAGGCAGGTGAGAGCTAAAAGAAACACAGGGCCTTAAAGCATATTCCAGTGTCCACTCCAGAGAGCAGGCCAGGGAGTAGCATGGCTGGAGGGGCTTCAGTGGACCCAAGGGGACCAGAAATGGGGCCTGCCTGAGGACAGTGACACTCCATGGGAACTTCAGGGCCTGCTTTGCACACTGGCTTTCTGGCCCCAAATCTTAATGATTCTACAATAAACTCAGACAGTTCCAATTTTTAAAGAAAAATTTCCCTTTGGGTATCTCTTGGCTCTCTTCACTTGCCAAAGTGACCAGGAAATTTGTAGTAATTTTAGGTCATGGCAAGAAAGTCCACTTCCAGACCAACCTTCCCAGACTCACACCTGTGATCAAGACTCACAAATAGGACCACGACTGTTGGCAGGTGCTCACTACTGCCTCAGTCATATATTGGTCTTTTAGGTAAACTTTGGAATCTTTGAGGATCCAGGAAGTGGAGATACTCATGCCTCATATTTCTAAGTGAGAGAGGCCCTCATGATAGGAAACATGCGGTTTTCTTCTGTCTACAGCCTGACATGGTCCAGCCACTCATGAGTGACTAAAGTCACGGATGCATAAAAATGTCAGGGGTGTGTCGAGAATCCCTGCAAAGGGAAGCAGAGAGCACGCATTCCTTCTCCCAGGCAGGACAGGAGGGCATGTGTTGTCCTGGGATGTAATTGTGCACAACCTGTACCCTGCTTCTACCAGGAGGAGCCAATTTATTTTAGTCCTTATTCAAGAGCAAACCTTCTTCTGCATTAGGTAACAGAGAAAATTTCCAGCCAATGTTCTTCTAGGAAGGGAGAAATGAGAGTCCAGCTTTGGCTGAGTTGGGCTTTAGTGGCTGCATTTACCTATACCTATGCTGTCATTGGACCTATGCCAAAGGGACCACCATGGGCCATGGCTCTGATGGCTGCCTTGCAAGCCCCAATGCCAACCGCTCCTTCTGCTCTTTGTTGCACAGTCACTGGGCTCCCTGCCCTTTCCAAGCTCTGCCTCTCTCCCTTTTATCCCTGAATTGCTTTTGCAGGTCACTTTGAGTTGTGCTTGGTTTTCAGTGTTGTCAGAATTCATTATACAGACAGGACGTGATTAAGCAAGATGCAGAATGTTTAATCCCCAGTGGGAGAGCCCTTTGGTAGCTATCTAAAGACTGCTTATTGGTTTTTACATTTAGATACATCCACTGGGGAGCAGGGGCACAAGGGTGACTGGATGCTCCTGGGGTGGGAGCACTGAAGACCTCAGATGGCACAGGGGTACTCAGTGGTGAGCCCGTGGTGTGGTGTAGGATGAGGAAGCTGGACTTCAAGAAGAAACATCTGAGCACATTTCCTGAGAGAGGGAGGGTGTGGTGTGTTGGGAGGGGAGCCAGGAAGAGCCTTTCAGGCAGACAGATCTGGTGAGGAGGGAAAGTATAGTGCTTAGGTTCACCCTGGAGCTCGTGACGTCTAAAGGAGTTCTGGTAGCAAGGGCCGTGTTGAACTGCAGAGGTTTTTTTTATTCTTTGGTGGTAGATCCCACCTGAAGCTTATGCACAAAATGTGGGCTATACCTGGGAAGAGCCTGGCTGGTGGGGTCCAGGGAGGGGTTTAGGGAGCTCATGGTGGGAATGTCTGGGTATTTGGCTCCTCATTCTCGTAGTCCCAGCAGCACAGCCCAGCATAGCCATGAGCCTTGGCAGGGACAGGAGCTGGCTCTGTGCACAGCAGCTTCCTAATGGCACTGTCAGGACTGGGACAGTGCCCACCATGCTAAGAGGCCTGGCTCTTCATCTTTGGATCTCAGTGTGGCACACGGGGGCCTTGACTTTCCCATTTGCTGTAGGCCATGGGTGCATCTCCGGCTCTCATCACCCCAACTCTCTGGGGACAGTTCACATGCACTGAATATGTTCAAATGTTTAACGCTTGGGCTTCTGAATGGCAGCACTGGAAGGGCCCTTGTTTTCTCACTCACTGCGGTGATGCTCAAACTGGGTTCGGAGGGGGTGTCTCCGGGATAGCTGAAGACATAGGGCCATGACTCACCTACCTGCTCATCACCAGTGTAGCTGCTATGATACCTAGTTTTTAATGTCACAATTTCAGATAGTTTATACTTTTAAAATGTGTTTTCTATTAGTGAATATTAATTTTACAGGATACTGGGTTTCAGAGTAATATTTTAATAGGTATATAGAACATATTTTGATCATATAAAATATATCTGTTCAACCAAGGTATAATTGAGTGCAATAAAATGCACACACATAATTTTATTTAACTAAATAATTTAGCAGAATGGTGTGGGAAGAAGACATGACTTTTGCATGCTAACCTGAGCCTTAGGTATGGGCCTAGGCAGACCCCAGCTGGTCAGAGACCATCTACTCTGACACTAAACACCATGCAAGGGAGAGAGCTATCCACCACCCTGCCAGTCTGACACTTGTCCCCACTCAGGTGTGCTCTGCCCTCTGCCTAGGCTTCGACTTCAAGACCTGCAATGTACTGGTAGCTTTGGAACAGCAGTCCCCGGATATTGCCCAGTGTGTCCATCTAGACAGAAATGAAGAGGATGTTGGTGCTGGAGACCAGGTATCTCAGCATTGTGCATGGGAACTTGTGGGGAACATCACTCTAGTGTAGTCTATCCCAGACCAGGCTGTAACCTGCATGGAGGACCTGGGAAATGGTGGTGAATTCCTACAACCGCAACACTCTGGGAGGCTAAGGCAGGAGGGCTGCAAGTTCAAGCCTACCCTGTCTCAGAATAAAAAATGAAAAAGGGCTGGGGGTATAGCTCCATTCTTAGTTCAATACCCAATCCTCAGGACTGCCAAAAAAAAAGATTAGTGGATTAATTGTATTTCACACCATTGGGCAAACCCACTATACAGGCATGAGCTAGAGGATCATGCCTGGAGTGAGGTGGTTTTTGCTTCATGGCAGTGATTTGGGGGCAGGTATGGAAGGCTGTAGTTGCTAATGCCTGTGTGCAAAGTCTTCCATGTATGAGGCATTCAGTATAAGTAGAAATTGTAGATTTGGGGAAAGCTGTCATTCTGGTGGTGAGAGTTCAGTTTGCCCAATATGCGGCTGCATGTAGGGCTTGATGTTCGGCTATGCCACCGACGAGACGGAAGAGTGCATGCCTCTCACCATCGTCCTTGCACACAAACTCAACAACCGCATGGCCGAGCTGCGGCGCACTGGCACCCTCCCCTGGCTGAGGCCAGACTCCAAGACCCAGGTGAGTGACCTCGAGGACCTCCCATAGAGCTCCCCAGAATTTCAAGCACTGAGTCTCTTGACTCTTGCCATTTTAAAGAGGAAAATATTTGGTCTGCACACTCAACAAATTGTCTATTTGGAAAGGTTACTTATTTGAAAACTTCCATTAAAAATCCACCCCCAACCTCTACTAAATTTTAATACAAAGTTCTGAAACCACAGAAAAGTTGCAAAAGCAATCCTAGATCGCGTTTTACCTTGTCATCTGTACACTCTGATGACTCCCAGTTCCTGCTTCTTCACAGGTTTCACACGTTTGGTCCTTGCAGTTCCATACACATGGTCTCCCCATCTTCCACAGACTGTCTTGGCTGTCCGTGGCTCCCTGTGGCCCTTTTGCTTGTCTTTGTTTTTCATGGTAGAGCTTTACCTTTGCTGGGTCCAGTCCTGGCCTAGTGGGCCCTGCCCTCTACTCCCTGCAGTGCTGAAATCATCCTGAAGCCTCCATTTGAAGGGTGGCGCTGAAAGCTGGGGTGTGGTGTAAGCATGGCACATGTGGGCCCCCTGTTGACCTTCAATCACATATCCTTTCTCCTTTAACCCTGGTGACTGATGGCTCCATTCCTGATGATCTCCTGCTCTGCCTCCTCTTCTACATTCCACCACGTGCCTCCTCATATCCTGGCACCTCTTCCTCCACAGGCTACATGCCCTGGATCCCATCTTCCTGTCACACTCAGCTCCCACCTCCCCTACCCCTGTCACTTGAAATCACCTGCCACATTATCAGTGCCCCACATACAGGTGTGCTCGACAGCCGGCGGTGTGGTGCTCCTGTCACCTCCTTTGTTGAAGGACTGAGTCATAGGATCACCTGCTCCCCAGCCCTGCTTGGTGATACATTTGTCTTCACTCTACCTGGGCCCCTAAATTTCCCCATTGTTCCAGGCCAGCCTGGCCAGCATCCTGGCCCTACCTTTTCAAAGATTCTCCCTGCTGGGAATCTCCAGTTAACTTACTACAGGCTTCACTTCTAATTTCATAATGTCTGTTTGGTATTCCTCCAAGTTTTGCTTCCTGTGGGAGGAGAGAGAGAGACCCCTTTTCATTCTGGCCCTCGAAGCCTTCTGTGATCTCCTAGCTTCACCCTCCTCTGCCAGCACCCCTCCCTCCCGCCCCCATTTTGGCTTGTGGGATGTCACTGTGCTCAGGTCCCCTTGGTTCTTGGTGCTTCACATCTGTATCTCTAGCCTTTGACTTACTTGGGGTATTCTGTGATCTTCACTTGTTCACAAGGGGCCAGCCAAGTGTAGGTATATTTGTGGGTGCCGGCCCTGGCTGACAGCAAACAACACCTTCTCTTGCGCCTGCACTGGGAATCAACACACAGGGTTTTGCTTCTCACTGTGGTGCGTGTGGCTCAGTCCTGTTCCCCATCACACATATTGTCATTGTCTCAAGTGTGAGTCCCTGCACAGGACAGGCATTGCATACTGGCTGCAGCTGGGGCTAGTGAGGGTGCTGTGGCCCCAAGAGATCCCTCCTTGGGGGCTTTCTGTACGATCTAGGTGAGCCCCAAGGTAGGAGGCAGGACCCCAGGATCTCTTAGTATTATTTCAGGTTGTGGGGCAGAAGAGCAAATGTTTGTAAACAGGTGGTACAGAAAGAAAGGGGTGCACCCTGGCCATCTGTGTGAGAATACTGCTGTGATTTAAAACAGTGGAGATTCCCAGAGGAGTAGTGGGAGGAAGTGATGGAGCATACAGAGCACCTTCCTGGGTGAGAGTGAGCAATGGAAGGTCCACCTGTCAGATCAGCTGCACCAGAGAGGCAAGGTCTCCTTCACTGTGCTTAGACAAGAAACAGGAAGTGTCCCAGTCAAAGCAAGTTATAGTGGTGCATGCCTGTAACACCAATGCTCTGGGAAGCTGACACAGAGGATCTTCAGTTGAAGCACAGCCTGAACAACCTGGTGTTTTAGTAAGATCCTGCTTCAATATAAATGAAAAGGGCTTGAAATGTGCAAAAGTCCTGGGTTCACTCATTAGTACCACAAAAAAAGTGTTCAAGTCTAGGGCATCAAGAGAAGGAGAGATGGGCTACCGAGAATGTCAGAGGTCTGCCTGACTCCCCTGCCACGGTCTTCCTTGCGTCAGTTCCAGCCAGAGAGGATGCAAGTTGCCAGAGGAGCTCTGTGCAGCCCCTGGGCCATAGCACAGCATAGCTCCCTCCCCGCACAGCCTGGGTGCAGAGCAGTTATGCCAGGCGCAGCCTTGTGCCTCCTTCCCTACACCCTGTTTGTGAAGGATTTTTCAGCCCTGAGCAGTGTTGACTGTGAACAGGATGAATCTTTCCACCTGAACAAACTCATGCTGCTGATACTGAGAACTGGGTGGCAGGACAATGGCTATTTTTGTCCCTTGTCAGAGCTATGTTTTCCATGGTGTATTTTTCCCCATATCTTGCTGAGGCCATGAGATAAGAGCCCTTTGCTCCACCTACCCAGCTCTGTCTTTCTGTGAAGGTGCTACCTGGGGTGGGCCTGTGGAGGTCAGAGCATGGGTACCCCCGCTGGTGCTTAGCCTTCCCAGGGCCTCCCCACTGGAAAAACGGACCCCAGCTCCTAGCCTGGTGTTTGAAGCCTAGTCTGTGTACCTGTGTGTCTGCCATCTCATAGCATCAGCCATCAGGCGGCCCAGGCTCTCATCTCTTCTGAATCCCACCCTCTTGCTCTTGGGACCAGGACAAAGTAGAAGTCTGATACAGACCCAGCATTTGATGGGTGTCTGAGGGACCTTGGCTGGGCAGAGGCCTCACTGTGGGCCCAGCCCCAGGGAGGCACTTCCTGGTGTCCCATGCCCTGAACAGGCCTTAGGACAGGGAGTAGTCCTCTGCCATTGACATAACAATGATGGGTTCTCTGATGGGTACACACTGCTTTGGGCAGCATCAGCACCTGACTTAGGGTCTCCAGTGGCAACTTTCTGCTAATCCTTTCTGAGGTCACAAAGCTACCAGGTAGACCCTAACTCTTTCATGTGATTTGACCATATGTTTTCAGTCTGGAACCTCAACTTTCTTGTCTGTAGAATGGGCTGATAAGAGCTGTTCATCTTTGGCATGACTTCTAGGACACAGTGCGCACCCAACTCATGCTTGTTTCTCTTCTTGGCTTCCTTGCTGTCCTTACCATATTCTTCCCACACACTCTGCAAACCCAGGTGATCCAAGTAACTCTCCCTTGTCACCAAAGCAGATCAACCTGTGACATCAGACTCCTGTGCTCAGTGATGTGTCAGTACAGGACAGAGTGCCTGGAGAAGCATTTTATCTGAGCTGTAGTAGGAGTGACATGGCTTTTGGATCAGGCTGAGCAGATATTGGCTACTTGTTTTACACCTGCTGCTTGTGTGACACCAGACAAATGGTTTTACTTCCGCTTGCTCTGTTTTTCCCTTATCAAGCGGGGATTGCTGCCTGCATGGTGATGCCCGATATATTAACATAATGCACAGGATAGGAGCAGAAGTGCCCTGTGCAGGTGGGAGTTTGTGTTAGGTCCATGTCTGTGACCTGACCCGCTAGGACATCACAGGCAGGTCCTTCCCCCCAGGCGCATGGTACTCTTCCTTTCTTCTGGAGAAACTCCCAGTCTAGAGCTGTTCTGGAGAGAGCTGCTCCCTCTTATCTCACATACTCTGGCCGGGGTCCCTCCCACCCTTGTCCCTACAGCAGTCAAGTGCACTGGCTCCAGTTGCTTCCAGGGATCCTCCACTGAGGGTGCTGGGGTTACCCCTTGGACTTCTCACCTTCTGTCTCAGAGGCTCTGGGTGCTAATACATGTCTGCCCTGCCAGAGCCATCTCTTGACCCTTCACAGCCCAGGCCAAGGCGTTCCTGCCCCTGCCAATGACACATGGCCTATGGATTCCTGTTGTCATTGGCAGGAGCAAGAAAACTTTGGCCAGAGGCTGTGGAGGGTCAAAAGTGGGATTTGGCCAAGGGGACATTTGTTGGCACCCAGAAGCCTCTGGAACAGCAGGGCAGGTTCCTGGTGGGTCACAGCTGAGAGGAAGCTTGTCTGTAAGTAGTGCTGATTGAGGTCACACAGGGGAGCTGCTTTGCCTTAATACCCAGTCACCTTATGGTACCTCGCAATTTTTCCAATATGAAAATTTGCCACATTAGCTTTCTGAAGCTCTCTGAGAATAGGTGGCCTTACTTGTCCTCAAGGGTCCTGCCAACTTCTTGGGGTCCGTGCCTGGCAGTGCTGTGCCACAGCCTCACAACGTCCCTCTTGCCCTTCTGTTACCCAGGTGACAGTTCAATACACACAGAAAAATGGCGCAGTGATTCCTGTGCGCGTCCACACCATCGTCATCTCCGTGCAGCACAACGAGGACATCTTGCTGGAGGACATGCGCATGGCTCTGAAGGAGCAGGTGATCAGGGCCGTGGTGCCTGCCAAGTATCTGGATGAAGACACCATTTACCACCTGCAACCCAGTGGCCGCTTTGTCATCGGCGGTCCCCAGGTGTGTCCGGGTTCCCGAAGTGACTTGTGTTTCAGAGCACAAAGGCTATAAGAGAGATTTGAGCAGCTCATCAAGGATGGCTGGGGACTAAGTGTGAAGTGTTAAACTTTAGTCTCATGTTATTTAGTGTTCTGGTGTGTGTGTGTGTGTGTGTGTGTGCGCGCGCGCTATATATATATCTGTCAGTACCCAAGGGAGTGGGGACACATCCCTAGGAGACTCTTTTTTGGTACCAGGGATCGAACTCAGAACCTTACCCTTGTGAAGCAGGCGGCGGAACCACTGAGCTAAATCCCCGGCACTTCAAATACCATCTTACTTTCATGCAGCAGCCACTGTCCTGCCAAGCTCAGGGTCTTCTCACAAACCACTGCCATGTTTGCTCATCGCTGCCCCTTCCCAGGTGCCACTTGCTGGGTACCTGTGTATGGCATCAGCTCTTGTGGGTGTCACAGTGGGGCAGGGACTGGATTCCTACTGCTCCCTACCCCTGTTCTGCAGGAATGAGGAGGTGGAGATCAGATGGTACAGCACCTTCAAGAGGCAACTGACTGCTGCTAGGGGACCGCAGCTGTGGGTTGGGCTCTGAGGGCAAATGGAGTGTAGAAAATGGGGTAAAAGGAAATTTTCTTTTTTGCAGGACTTTTCAAAGCCTAGGTGCATGAGGGTGAAACCTAAAAAGGGGTTACAGTAAATAAACTCCCGCCAAATCATTTAGCATAGACCCCCACCTTTTAAATGGCATTTTAATAGAATACATTAATCAGCTTTCCCTTGCTGAGATACGATTTCGGACACCAGCAACTTGAAGGAGGAGAGGCTTATTTGATGCAAGGGATTTAGTCCATGGTCAGCCAGCTCCAAGGCAGGAACATCATGGTGGAAGGGTGTGGGGGAGCAAAGATGCTTCTTAGTTCATGGCAACCCAGCAGCAGAGCAGGGGAAGAGTGCCAGAGAGGAACTGGCCTGGGGCCATATGTAGTACCAAGGCCATGCATAGTACTCGGATATACCCAGAAGTGTGTTTTACTGGTCTGCTAAGTGCTTCTTAATCCAATCAAGTTGACATATCAGGATTAACGGTTACACTGATCAAAGATACACAGGGAACACTTGGAAAGGGGGTGACATCAGAGTAGCTGGTGATACTAGTCGGGCCATTGCCCAGCATTTTGTTTATTGCAGTGTAATTACTGCCTGCAGATGGATTTCTCCTCATCATGGACTCAAAGAGATGGTGGGTGGGGTGGTTGTGACCCTAGATAACCTCTGTCCACATTCTGAGTTTTTCCGGTAAGGTGCTGACAGGTCCTCTGATTTCCACAGGCAGTTAGTGATGGAATGAGGATGAGAATCTGAGGTTTCTGGAAGATTTCCAGACAAAGGGTCTCTGAAAAAGACCAGCAGGCACCTTCAGGGTATCCTTCTTAAGGGCTTCAGTTCAGCCCCTCCACCTGTTCAGGAGCTCGGGTACTCATCTCTTCCTTCCATTTCTGTGCCTCTGCAGGGGGATGCAGGTGTCACTGGTCGCAAGATCATTGTGGACACCTATGGAGGCTGGGGGGCTCATGGTGGTGGGGCCTTCTCTGGAAAGGACTACACCAAGGTGGACCGCTCAGCAGCCTATGCTGCCCGCTGGGTGGCTAAGTCCCTGGTGAAAGCGGGGCTCTGCCGGAGAGTGCTTGTGCAGGTAGGTCAGCCCCCACATTCCTGAGCCCGCCATCCTGTCCCTGTCTGAAGTCACTAATGTCTCTGAGTGTGGCCTTTCTGAAAGGTGTCCTATGCCATTGGCGTGGCAGAGCCACTCTCCATTTCCATCTTCACCTATGGAACCTCAGAGAGGACAGAGCGGGAGCTGCTGGAGGTGGTGAACAAGAACTTTGACCTCCGGCCAGGTGTCATTGTCAGGTGAAAGGGCCACCAGCTGTGCTATGGGACTTTGCCCCTCCCTCCCCCACGTGCATGGCTTGACTGAAAGGAAGGACTTTCCAGCTGCCCACAGGTCAGGGTCTCAGGCTCTTAGGCCAGTACAGAGTGTACCAGGGCATGGGATGCCCAGATTCCAAACTGAGGGAGGCTGTGAAATAGCCCTGCTGGCCCAGCAAATAGTAATTCATCAGGAAAGCAACCATAAGGCCAACTGGCTGGGAATCGAGACAGAAGTGCACTGCATATGCTCTTGTTTCTCATGTCACCCTGCTTCTTGGAGCTTGGCTGTGTGGTCCTTGGCCTGGGACAGGCAGTTGGGGGCTGGGTAGGAAAAGGCACCACAAGGTGGAGTTTAAATCCCATTCCTGGTGTTTTTGTATGGTCAGCTCTCTTGGGAGCATCTGAGCCTCCCTTTCCTAAGCCGTGGCATAGGAGGGGCTGTAGCAAAGTCAGGACATGCATGGGGCTGAAGCTCTGTACAAGCTACCTTTAGAGGCTGTTCCCTGCTCCTGGACTCAGAGTTCAGGGAGAGAGAGCCATTTCAAAATGACCTTATCTTCTGCTGGCCATGCAGGGATTTGGACTTGAAGAGGCCGATTTACCAGAAGACAGCATGCTATGGCCATTTTGGACGGAAGGAGTTCCCATGGGAAGTGCCCAAGAAGCTTGTGTTTTAAAGCTGGCAGGAGTGGGCCTAGCTTTGCCCTGCACGCGCTGCTCCAAGATCCCAGACGCCCAGATCTCCCAGCCTTTCCTGACATCATGCTCCCCCACCCTGGCCCACAGCCCCCTCTTTTTGCCCCATCCCCGTATCACCACAGATGTTGGAGAGCAGGTAGCTTCTGGGTGTTGGTATCAGGATCCCTGTGAGCAAAGTCACAACATTCCCCTGCCTGTCCGTGGAGCAGGGTAATGTTGATTGAGTGGAAGGGTCACCCTCATCAAGAGAAAAATCTTTTCCCTCACCCCCTCCCACAGGTCAACCCTGACCAGCTCCTCTTCCCTCTCTGGACAGATCTCAAGGCTCCTGTGGGGCAGGCATGCCAGGTCTCCCCTTTTTACATGTGGCCAGCACCCTGAACCAGGGCCTGGGCTAAGCCCGCTCAGCCTGGGCATCTGATGTCTCGTGAGCGACTGCAGTGTGCAAGGGACCAAGCCAATGACAGATCTCATGTTTTCTTCCTTCCAACATTATGAAGTGTCACTTTTTGTTATTCCCATTACCAATGAGGGAAACCGGGGCACAGAGACTCTAGGTAGCTTTTTCAGGGTCCCACAGCTATACATGTCAGGGCAAGAGGTGGGCCTGAGCTATGCCAGAGCAGATTGGAACAAGGCTGTGAACAATGGCCTAGGGCCTGAGCCTGGGAGTCCTCGAAGTCAGGCAGTGATACCATTGCTCTTGGAAAAGCCCGGATGATGCTCTGTATGACATTTGTCAGAGTTGGGATGGAACCAAGAGCTTTCATTACCTCACTTGTCCTGGAAGAGAGTCCAGGGCAGGGTGGGCAGTGTAGCCCATCAGGCTGGGCTAGAGTTTGGGATTATAATCCCAGCTTGCTGACCTTTCAGAGACATGAGAGTTTGGAATTTTGGACCTCTGGGGCATGTGGTATAAGCCACATCAGTGTCTCCAGGGGTCTCCTGGAGCAGGGGTAGTAGCTTGTTCCAGAGCAGTGCAGCCTTTGGGTGAAATATGGGACCCTGTGACCTTCGCGTCCTTCCCTTCTCTGGCCCCTTGTGCCCTCTAGGGTGTGAGTGTTATCTGTAAGTTGGGGCTCCTCTGATCCCCCTTCCAGAGAGGCGAGTCCCAAGGCCTGGGTGCCTCATGTTAATAGTGCCCAGGTGCAGGGCTGCCTCTTGGTGGTGAACAGGGTGCCTGATGAGCGATGACTTTCTGCCTTTGTCAGTTGGCTTCGGGTGGACACATCTGCTCCCAAAGGGCCTGAGGGGTCCTTAGCCCACCATCGTCTTGGAAACCTCAAACTCTTCTGCCTTTTCATCCGTGGCTGGTGCCACTTGCCCCATCTGTCCTCAGCCTGAGCCTTGAACAGCAGATCTTGGCCCCATTGCTAACAGCCAGGGAGACAGGCTCAGAAAGGGCTCTCAGGGCCAGGGATTTAGCTCAGTGGTGCTGCTGCCTGCCTCACAAGATCCCCAGTACCCCCCACAAAGGAAGGGCCCTCCTTGGCCCCAGGGGATCCCCAGGAAATGGCTTCTTCTCAGGATACACAGCACTGGTCTTGGCTGCAAGTCTCTGCCTGGCAGCCTCATGTAGGAGAAAACACTGATCTGGGTCTTGGCTTGAAGCACAAAGACCCTGTCTTTCCCTTCCATTAGGACAAAGAAACTCCTTGGGGAAAAGCCAAGCCCCAGCTACCATCATATGCTGGAGCTTCCTCGTGACTTAGAAGCTCTGGTGTTTCTCAGGGACCCTGGTTGTATAGGGCCTCAGGGTCCCTGCAGCACAGGGAGTGGGGGGAGGGCCTCACAGGTGTCTGAGTTCCTCCAACCAGGGCTGTTTTTGAAGTAGAGATCTTCTGCCCCCTGGAGAAGAGAGACCTTTTGGCCTACACTGTTTATATGAATCTAATGTCTACTACTAGTTTCTTCTAGGATAGTGAATAAAAAACCAAAAAGCAACTACCCTATTTTAGCTTTTATTTGCACACCCCCAGAAATGCAATCCCAACTCCCCCATCCCCAGCAAAGGTGGGTCCTCTCCTCAGGGTTACCCTAAACCAGCCTATGGGGGACCCTCTCCCCACAGCTCCTGTGTTAAGTCACTGCATCGCTGTATTTGCTCCTCACCATGTCCCTCTGAGGCGGGGCCTGAGGACCCAGGATGTTTAGGAATATGAAGGGGCTCTGGGCTGGTCAGGGGTTCCTTGGTCTCAGGGTGCCCTCAATCACATGCACAGCTGCCCTACTTCTTGTCTCTGTCCCATCCTTCTGCCCCTCTGCATGTCACCTACAACGAGGCTGGCACAAGTGGACTGAGGCCACATTTTCTCATTCTTTGGATAATAACTGACAGGAGTAACTGAGTGAAGGGTGTGTCTACACCTTTAAGTGGGTGCACAATTCCTCTTCCTGCTTTTCCCCATTTTCAGCTGTGAGGGGAGTAGCCAGGTGATTGTTCATTAGCAGCAGGTGTCCACAGGAGCCCTGAGCACAGCACCAGCAGGTGGGGAGGTGGGGCCTGTGCAGCAGCCCACACTGGGGACAGGAGGGATTCTGGGGCATGCACCCTGAAGGCTGAGCACAGGTCTGTGCGGCTTCACCTTCTTAAGATGAGGATCTGACCAGAGTGTCAGGAAGGGCAAAGGTGCAGCAGAGACCAGAACCCTGGCCAAGGGGAGGGGAGAGACTCTGCCCAGAGGAGCCACTCCATGGGCAGGCGATGAAACATCACACATTACAGAATGTGGTGCACAGGCTGCAGGAACATATACGGTATGGACAAAAAGACCCTTATGAAGTGTATGGGAGAACCTGCCTGTACCATGGCTTAGTGGGCAGAAATGGTGAAATAATTTCTGAAGGCAAGGAAAGGAATCAACTTCTGGGCCAGTGTCACACTGTCAGGGCAATGTGGGAGTCACAACGGAGCTTGGGAGAGCGGCTGAGGGAGGAGGGGGACCTTAGGGGTGGGAGTCCTTAGAAGCCAATTAAAGATAGCATTTCTAGGATCAACTATGAGAAATGATAGTATAAGGAGATCTGTGACCTGGGAAGGTCCAGTGAATTCAGCCACATATTTTGCTGGTAATGTGGGAAATGGCTTAGTTCAGTCATGATCCTTTAGTATATCTAGTCCATTTGAAGTGCAATTCAAAGTGCATGACTGCAGGGTCATCTCCTGCATGTCTGCCCAGTGCCCATCTCCCTGCCCCCACTCTGGGACCAGCTCGCCTCTGCTCTGCCACACTCCAGACTCCCTGGCTTCTCCAAATAGACCAAGCTCCCTCCTGCCACAGGACCTTTGCACATATCATTCTATCATGGATGCTCTACTTGTTTTGTGAATTTCAGATGAGATTTCTGGGTCTGTAAAAATTCCCCTTTTGGACATCCTCTCTTCTCTACACTTCCATTTTTAGTGACTGATTTCCTCATTTTACCCCCTTGGGGTCTACCTCCCTCACTGAATCCCTTCCTCACTCACCCACCCATCCAGTCTCCCTCCCTACTTTTCTTCACATGGTCCTTTCTCTGAATCCTTTCAGCTTCAGCTTACGAATCACCATCCAGAAAGATGCTACCAAATACCTTCCACAAATTATGCTCAACACCATCTTTATCTGGTACTGGAATATCAATGATTGAAAAATCTTTATGTAGCTAAATCGTTTTATTAATTATTAGTAATGATGTTATGGCAACACTAATAGCTCACACACTGAAGATAACGTATCAACCTCGAAAATAAAATTTTTCTTTTTTTCCAGCTTTATTGAGGTTTAATTGACAAATAAAAATTGTATATATTCAAGGTGGATGAAGGGTGAGGCTTCTTGACTTGGTAGTGACCTCACGCTGCCCCCTCTGTATCCTCCTTCTGGCTGTTCATCACCTTTGGTTTTCTACTTGTCTCATCTCATTTGTACATTTTTACCTCTCTTAAAAAAAAATCACTTTGTAACTAGCTCAAAGCCTTTAGATTTCTTGAGCTCTGAGATATTCTTTTCTCATTTATATTTCTCTGCTTTCCTCATTTCTTTTCCCATTCCTGACTTTCTGAGCTATCCTACTGTTTCAATGACTTCTTGGTCCCAAATTTGCTTCCAAGGAAGTTCTAAAATTTCTACTTTCTTGCTTATTTTCCCCCAATGATTCACTTGTTTCTAGTTCCACTAACAAATAACCACAGATAAAAATTTCCATTATTTGTACCTTTCAAAAAAAAAAAAAAAAAAAAAC